CTCCTGGTAGATGTGATCTGGAAATAGGCTTCCCTTTTCACGTCTCTTATTACTCAATTGCAAGCAATCTTAGCAAGTGTTGGCTATCTATGTAATGCGTAGCAGCTGGTATTGGCTCCTGTCCAGATTGTGGGATATTATAGGGTATGCTTATAGATTGGCTATATGACCACGATTGTTGTCTCTTCTCGGGTAACGTAGGGAGAGAAAGCTCCCACCCCCAGGAAAAAAGTAAGACCAAAAAGACAAAAAATAGAAACAAGAATAAAAGCAAAACAAAAACAAATAAAAACAAAACAAAAACCCAAACTTCAACCGACTGTCCAGTAGCCTTTGCTATGCAGGTCAGTGTGCGTGCACAGTAGTAACCTTCAGAGGTGGTGGGGGTGGCCACTTGCTCAGACCCTCCTGCCCTCTAGGCACTGTCATGGAGGTGCACAGACAGAGAATGAGAAACAAATGGAAGAAAGAATTTTTACATTATATAGTAATTGGTGCCAGCTTTTACCTTTGTGCTGGGCTTTACAGGATGCAAATATGACCTGGTTGTATGGCCAGATCTGCTGTCTCTTGTTAGATAAGGCAGGAATAAAGGCTCCCACCTAAGTAGGAGAATCAATTTAAGAGCTAAATCCCAGAGTCAGACATCATTAAGAACCCGTGGGAGGATTAGCCTCTGGAGCCAATGGAACTTTCAGCGACTTCCTCTGCACCGTGGGAAAATCGTTCCCCATGGGCACAATGCTGAACCCTTTTGGGGGTGTGCTCCCACCCACATGAAGACACCTGGGCTGGGCAGAGAGGGTGTGATAGGAGAGAGCACAAGAGAGAAGGAAAAAAGGAAAAACAAAATAACCCCAAAATGTCACATCTCTTTTTCCATAAGTCACTGACTGGTTTTTGCACTGTAGCAGGCTGGCTGTGGCCCTGCCCTCTGATCTCTGCTGACTGTGACCAATGGCAGGGTCCCAATTGATTCAGATATTGTGTTTCCTCTAATCTCAGTCAGATTTCTCCACTGGTGGGTGCCCAAAACTATTATCTCTTACTTGATATTAAATTTAAAGCTCTGGGACTGTCCTGACAAAACTTTTTTTCAGTCTTCCCTGTGCCTCCACCAAGGAGCCTCTGCTGATTATCTCGGCTTAGCCTACCCCCAAACCGGAAGTCCTCCTTCCATCTTCTTTTGATGCTGTTTGCATCAGTCAATATTTCCCCCATGTTGTTGTTGTTAAGTGCCTTGGAGTCATCTTTGACTCATAGTGACCCTGTATAGGGTTTCTGAAAACCAGCTGGTGAGTTTGAACTGTCTACCTTGTAGTTCGCAGTCCAGCGCTGATCTCACAGTTCTGCACTTGGAGTCCATTTTACCCATGGTGGTGGTGGTTATGTGCTGTAGAGTCAGTTCCGACTCATAGAGACCCTGTACAGGGCTTCCAAAGCTTTAAATCTTTATGGGAGCAGAAAGCCTCATCTTTCTCCCATGGAACGGCTGGTAGTTTGCAACTGCTGACTCTGAGGTTCACAGCCTGATTCGTAATCACTATGCTACCAGAGTAGAGTCCTTCAATGTAGCAAGTCGAAGCTTGGAATATTTTCTCCAGTTCCCTCAGTGTGCTAAATGCTGAGCAAGTTCCTCCCTCTTGGTTTTCCAACTCCAGATATTTGCACATTTTGTTATAATATTTGGCTTTTTCTTCTCCAGCTGACTTTTGACATTTTATTTATAGCTCTTTTATCTCCTCATTTCTTCCATTTGCTTTAGCATCTTTATG